TTCTCAGCATCCCCAGGGAGATGCAGACACAAAATTCCGGTGAGGTAGCACCTCCCTGTGGTTAAAACCACTAGCATGAGAAAGATAAACTACAACAAGTGCTGGTGAGAATGCAGGGAAGGGGAGAGCCTTGCATACTTTTGGGGAGAGTGCAAATTAGGATAGCTAAGATGGAAAACAATGTGTGTGGGGGGTGTTCTCAGACACCTTAAAACAGAATCACCCTAAGATGCAGCAGTCTCAGTAACATGCAAGAGGTCACTGGAACAGCCAGCAAACATACCTCAGGGGGCTGGACCACTCACATAACAGCTGGGGAACCAAAATGAGCTGCCCTCTCCCTGCACCTCAGTATCCACATCTATATAATGGCAGTGCCCTCACCGAGCCTCATATAAGTCCCTATCTACAAACATCATTGGCTGCATTTCACCAGCTTTAAAACTTGTGTTCTTCAAAGTAAAAGACAAGCCACAGATTGAGAGAAAACACAAATGTTTCACAAGTGACTTGTACATCATATATATAAAGAGCACTTACAAGTTCATGGGGAAAAAAACAAAATATGTAACATTTTTAAAATAGGCAAAAGAATTAAGATGTGTTGAGTACAGGTACCTACTCCCCATGACAAATGTAATCATTATGCATTGAGAATATAATAAATATACACCAATAAAAATTATTTTTAAAATAGATCCAAAAAAGGGAGGCTGAGGCAGGAGGATCACTGTGAGTCCGAGGATTGCTTGGGCTATGTACACTGGACTGTGTGGTGAGATCAGTTCAATAAACCAAAAGTTAAAGAAATATTTTTAAAAGTTTAAAAACAGTTTAAAGTTTCCTCCCCTGCCCACCTCTCTCCTGCATGTCAGGAAATGAAGGCTCCTCGCCCCCACTCCACCCCACACATGCCGCTGTGGAAGACAGAGCACAGCGTCCAGGCCTGGGCCACACCCGCCCTGCTCTGCAGATGTGACAGCTGTTGTGAGTGAGCCCTGGAAGATGGGAGCGGCTCACTCGGGGCTCCGGGCTTGGCCCAGGAAGGTCCCGTCCTCAGCACAGGCCTGGGACTCCAGGAGGCAGTCAGAGCCCGTCACCAGAGCCTCTCCATAGGAATGGAGCATGGCCTTTAGGTAGCAGGCACATCTGGGAAAGGTAACCACTCGGTGGTCACTTCTGGACGAGACATTGGAGTACTGGCCACCTGCAAATGCCACCACAGCATCTGGGGCAGCTGGGCAGTGAGCTGGGCTTCCACGGGGCCCCAGCCCGGAGCAGGTGTGACTGCAGGCTCAGGAGCAGGGGACCCTGGACTGGCCTGCGACTGCAGGCTTCAGTTTGACTGGAAGGACACAATGCTGTGTGAGTGACAACCTCGGTGATGGAGAGACTGGGTTGGGGGAGAAGGAAGAGGGGAAAGGTAGGGGGAATAAAGAGGGCCCTATGATGGAAGGAAGGAAGGAGAGGAGGAAAGATGGATGAGTGGATGGATGCACATTCACAGATGTCCAGGTACACACGGATGCATGAATAGAAGCACAAGATAAACAGAATCACAGACAGAATCATTAGACACTCAAATACAGAAGTAAATAGAACTATAGGATAGGTGATTTGTCAATAGATAGATGGGTATACAGATGACAGATGATAGATGAATTGATAGATAGATAAATAGACAGACGGATGGGTAGGTGGATAGACAGATTGATGGATGGATGAATGCATAGATGATAGGTGGAAAGATGAATGGATGAATGGATAGTTGGATGGATGGATAGATGGATGGATGGAGAGTTGGATGGATGGATAGGTGGCTAGATGGATGGATGGATGGATGGGTGGATGGATGGATGGATGATGGACAGTTGGATGGATGGGTAGTTGGATGAGTGGATAGGTGGCTAGATGGATAGATGGATGGATAGTTGGACAGATGGATGGGTGGACAGATGGATGGGTAGGTGGATAGATGGATTGATGGATGGATGAATGCATAGATGGATAGGTGGAATGAATGAACGGATGGATAGATGGATGGATAGATAGATAGATAGATGGATAGATGATGGATAGTTGGATGGATGGATGGATAGGTGGCTAGATGAATGGATGGATGGAAAGATGGATAGATGGGGGATCAGTGGGTGTGTAAGTAGATGACACACAGTGGTGCGCACAAATGTACAGATACAGTATGTGCACATGGATTGGGTTCACCTCTCTGGGTGTCTGCATGGCTATGTCCATCCATATTCGGCCAGTTGTGTGGCCATGTGGGCACCCATCTCTCTGAATGCACCCTGCACACCCCCACACCTGCCTGGGCACACGGACCCCGTACTGTGCTTGGGCAGCCTGGCCTCAGCGTCTCACCATGGCTTCTGCCACCCCCTTGCCTCAGGACCACCCTGAGGACCATGGCCCCCTCCCCTGCCTAGCCTTCCCTACTCATGTCCCTCATTACCTCCCCCAGGCCCCTGTGCCACATCCGGGGACAAACATTCCAGGGATCAGGCAAGGATCCCTTCCACCACGCCAGAGTAATGACAGCTGCCACAGACGTAGAAGGTGACCCTGGCAAGAACAATGACCATCAAAGACACAGGGGTGCAGCCAGCGTCTGCCAGCAAGCCTGGGACACAGGTGACCAGCAAGTCCCCTGTGGCAACAACTCAGCCCTCCCTGCCTTCCTGAACAGCCCCCCTGCAGCCACCACCCCAAGTCCAGCAGTCTCACCACCTGCCGCGCGTTTCCATGGAGATGTAAGTTACGTGCAATGCAGGCCACAGGTAGGCGACAAGCAGGCCCAGACAGATGCCCCCACCACACCCCAGAGCGACGTTCACCATATCCTAATCTTTACCCATAAATTTACCTTCATACCCCTCTCCCTCCACTTCCCAATTACAGGGGAGCCCCATTCTGACGTCTGTCCTCTACTATGATCACTGCCTGTTCTAGAATATTATATAACAGAGATTATACACTGTATGGCCTTTTGTGTGTTGATTTTGTCTGCACTGAAATTCACCCATGTTGCTGGCCAGTGTGGTGTCCACGTCTGTAACCCAGCACTCTGGAGGCTGAGGTAGGAGAATCTCTACGAGTTCAAGGCCAGCCTGGGCTACAACATGAGTGCAAGGTCAGCCCAAACTGCTCAGGGAGACCCTGTCTCAAGACAGGGAAAAGGAAGAAGAGGAGGAGGAGAACGACAAGGGGAGAAAGTTGCTCCTTTCACGGCTGAGTATTCTTCTATTTATGAACACACTGCAAGCTCTTAACCCAGCTACCTGCTGCTGGTCACAGGTGGGCCATCAAGCTGCATAAGCACACTTGTCACACAGTTTCGTTTCTCTTAGGGAAGCATCCGTGGGTGGAATGTCTAGGTCACAGGGTAACTGCCAGTTTAACTTTCTTTGAAAACAACAGAAAGCCAGGTGGCGGGACACATCTGTAATCTCAGCCACTCAGAAGGCTGAGGCAGGAGGATTCTAAGTTCAAAGTCAACCAGAACAACACAATGAAACCTTGTCTCAAAAAACCAAAAAGGAACAAACTATATATATGTATGTATGTATATAACTTTTTCCAAAGTGATTGAGCCACCCAACATCTTGCCAACGACAGCAGAGTTCCCATTGTGCCGTAGTTTTGCCAACACTTAGCACTGTGGGAACATCAGCTCTGGCCATTCTGCTGGGTGTGTACAGACAGCATGAGAAAGCTCTCATTTCCACATTCCTCATGGTGTTTCCGGCATCTTCAAAGCTGTCTGTCTGTCCCTTTTTCAGGAAGCATCTGTCCAGTCTTTTGTACCTGAGATTTTTTTATGCCCAAATTCAACCATTTTTCCTGGGTTGCACTGACCCCCAGGGCCCGGTTCCCGCCCTCAGCACGCTTGTCAGTTACAGGACAGCTCTGTCATGGGGCTGATGTGCGCCTTGTAGTAACTCTAACAGCAACCTTGGCCTCACCCTCTAGATGCCCACAGGTGTGACGAGCAAAAAAACAAAACTTCCCCATTGGATAAATGTCCCTAGGCGGGAAATGATGACCCACTGAGAACCGCTGGCTCCCAGCTACCCAGACTAGGCTCTTCTGAACTCTAGTGTGGGACAGTGGTGACATGCCCCTTTGGCCACACTTGGGATCCTTGTCACACAGCCTGCTGGGTGTGCCATCACAGTAGACCCTGCTGTGCAGTGGATTGGATCTATTTTGGCTTCGGACCCCCTGTGCCCATGGAGACCATTTTTCCTACACACATCGTCCACACCTGTCTCTGTCACCTACTCACTGCTGAGACACAGTTCCTGTCACCCGCAGCTTAAAGGAGGAGAGGTCTGCTCAGATCACCGTCCCAGTTCATAGTTGGCCGGCTCCAGGGCAAAAACAGCGTGGCAGAGGGCCTGGGGAGGACAGCTTCTCACACCACGGTGGCCAGGAAGCAGACAGAGGCAGGGGCCAGGCAGGGAGGTAAACAGGTCACGACCCCATTGCCCACCTCTAAGGATTTTCTTATTTATTTTAGGGTCCACCTTCCAACAGCACACTCACAGTTCAGTAAAGCTCCCTCTTGATCCATTCACCACCCCAAAACAGGAGGGTCTGGGGGGACGTTCTCAACCGAAACTGTAACAATACACACGGTGCATGAATTCTCCACACTAAGTGAGTCACAGTAACTGGCGATAATTACAGAAGAGTTATAACAATACACAGTAACAAAAGGTGTAAGCTAAAGTAAAGGCTGGCATGTTGTTTATTTCTAGAATTACCTATCTGAAACTTTCAGGCCTTGGTTAACCACAGGCAGCTCCAACTGCAGGAAGTGAGACGGCAGATAAGGAGGCACCGTGCTCCAGCCCTCCGGGCCGAGTCGGGACTGCGCTGGTGATGTCTTGCAGCGTATTCTGGTAGAGTCCGTCCTCTGATACCCCGGGTATTCTGGCCCCAGCTCCTGCATGCCTGGGAGCCAGGAACCCTTGCTAAAAAGGCACTCCTGATGCCAGTGCTGGATCCCTCTCTAGACGCTGCAGGAGGACAGGAGCCATTTCCTGCTCTACAATCTGCTTCAAGGAAGGTGCGTTGGGCTTGGGGTGATCTGGAAGCAAAGAGGCTCAGAGTGGAAGCTGGAAACATAGAGAGAAGGAGGCCAGGCTGGTCAAGCTCTTCTGGGGGGTGCCGGGGTCCAGAGGACATGGTGCCAGGCTCGGCACATGGGCACCCCACGCTCATACCCTCAGACACACCCAAGTGGGTACATACACAGGCATGCTGGAGACATACACGTGTTCACATGGGCACGTGCAGATATGCATCCAAGTGCTCATTTGCATGCCACTGGGCACACATGGAAGGACACACTCAGACCCACCTGGGTGAATGCACGTCATACATGGGCCTCTGCGGAGTCGGGGTTTTCTAGGGGAGCGGACTGAACACGAGACGTGTGTGTGACTATAGACGGGCTTAGGAGGTAGGTGACAGGGTCAGAATCCGAAGCGTCCCCGTGGCCACGTGCTGGGTGACAGAAGAAAGGGTTCAAAACGGCTGCCTGCACACTGCAGAGCACAGCGAAAGGAGGAGGAGGCCAAAGGTCTGGAAGCTGCCTCATGGTGCTATTGTGCCAGACAGCCACAGAGGCTGCCCTGGGAGCCTGAAGGAAGGGGACACCAGCATCCAAAGACGATGGTGAAGACCAGGCTTCTCCGGAGGGAGGGCGGGACTCCTCCTACCGTTCTGGTCCAACGCAGACTACAGCCCATTGGCTTGTGTCACCCACACCGGGGCAGGTCCCTCTCACCCCGATCCACCCCTCGAAGACCCCAGAGCTTTACTAATCCGCTAGGTGGTTTCCACTCAAGCCAGCTTCAGTGAATGATCACCACATCCAAGGCTGCAAATACAGCCCCACCCTGAAACACCCAGACCGTGTGTGCATGCAGGAGCACAGGCACTCAGGCAGCCTCAAACATGCATGGAGACACACTCAGCATGTGTGCACACACCCATGGTGCATGGCCCACACCTCCACCCCCAGCTCCGTACAGACCGTTAGGACAAATGTGTAGGGACCACTGTATCAACACCCGGACAGAATACCCGACACCCACTGCTTAGGAGGACAGGGTTATCTGGACTCACGAGTTTTACAGGTTCAGTCCATGGGCAGCTGGTTCCAAGGCAGAAACATCTCTGGTAGAAGGGTCTGGCAGGGACAGCAGCTCCCAGCATGGTGGCCAGGAAGCAGAGAGAGAAGGGAGGAGCTGGGGGCCATCCAGGTCACACCCCTGATCTGACACACAGCACACTCAACTCTGAACTCAGCCACGGACCAATCCACAGAGGAGCACAGCACTCCCAAGCCCGCCTCCTTCCAAAGCCTGGCCTCTCCTCACCAGCTGCGCGCTCTCCTAAGTGCTGCTACTCCCAAAGAGGGAGGGGGTGAAGGCTTAGACAGCTCCTCTGCTCCTCCGGGCACAGCCTGCCTCTCCGTGCATGCTTGGCAGGTCCGGAGCAGCCAGCTCTCCAGTGCTGCACCCGGAGTCTGAGGTCCTCACAGCCGGCTCCTTCTCTGGCTTCTCCAAGGAGGCCCCGTCCATCTGTGTGCTCACCACCCGTCCTCAGTGCCTCAATGTCTGTCGCCCCTGTGGCCCGCCGCTGTGCTCAGCGCTCTCAAATCTTAGCACCAGCTCCACCTTCAAAATGGACCCCAAGTCCAGCCGCTCACCCTTTTCGAGTTGCCTCCCCACCCAGTCCCAGTACCTCCCACCTGGACCTGCAGTGGCCTCTGCCCTGATCTCCAGGCTCCCACCTTCCCTGCTCCAACGCGTCTGTCCTCCACCAGCAGAGGGCACTGTGAGCACCCACGTCAGGTCCTCCCTCCTTTGTGCAGAGCCCTCCACGGCTGCTGCCCTGCCTGGGGTCAAAGCCCAAGGCCCTCATGAAGCCCATGGTGGCCACCTGTACCACCTGCCCCATCGCTTCCCCCTCCTCTCCTCCCTTTCTCTCCATTGTTCCCGCTAACCCCGACTCACAGACCTCCTCACAAAGGAGAACCAAAAATTCTTGCTCTCAGGGAACATCCACTCAAAAATGCAGAAGGCAGACAAAGAACAAAGAAGTGATTTCGGAGAGAAGCAGGAAAACCAAACTACAGGCACTCTGGAGAGAGCAGGGTGAGAAGCCATGCCTGGCACTGTGGATTGGACAGCGACCTGAGTGACCCAGACGCGGGCCCCTGGACACCTGCACTTCCTCGGCTTCCCAGAGGCCCTGGCATGGGTCTCCGGAGCAGTGAGAGGATCAGCCCCTATCCTCCTCCGCCTGCCTGCTGCTAGGGCTTGGGCCACTCCCTGGCCACCCCACTCCCTTCCAGGGCGGCCCAAAGAGCAGCAGGAACTTTCCAGGCTGAGGAAGAGCAGGATCCCTGCGCCCACAGAGGGCAGGAACTGAGGCCCAGGCCCTGCCCAGTGAGGCTGTGGCTTGAGGGTCCTGGAGTACCACCCCCAGATCTGCACAGGGCCCTGCATCCTGCCTGCAGGGGCTCCCCCAAACCGCTTACTCGCTCCCTGCTGGCCTGGGCCAGCATCCTGTTCCCCTGAGGACAGTGGTGGCACTTCCCTGGCCTCCAGGCCCAGGACCCCATCTTGGTCCACCCTCCTTACACATAGCGGAGCTTTCTAGGCAGAGGTTTGACCTCGCCACACGCCCTAGGGTGGTGTCTGTTAGGTCTGAGAGAAGGGAGAGGAGGAGAAGAGAGGGAGAGAGGTGGAGGTCCGAGGTCCGTGGATGGAGTGGAGTGGAGTGGACAGCAGTGAAAGTAGTGGGCAGCGGTGACTTTATTTCGGGAATGCCCGGAGAGGTCCCCCTCCGCCGGCCCCGGGCGCAGCCTCTCCACTGCACCTGGGGCCGTGGTTAACACGGGGAGAGGAGACTGGCGCGCTGGCTGCTGGAATCCGGCGATCTCTCTTTGGGAATCTCTCTCTGGGACACGTGGCGTGGGGGAATATAAATGGCCTAAGCTTAGGGCAGTGCCCTAAGGCCATTAGAGATGTATCGGTATCTCATTGGCAAACAGGTTTAGCGCCAGAAAGCAGGTTCCTAGGGAGGGGCTATAGGGTTACAGTCAAGTCTATAGGGGGGGGGGCAGGAGTTTCTAACTTAGCTGCAGCCTTTCCTGGTTACAGTGTTTGGTCTGGGCCAGCAACTCTTTCAGTGTCATACTCACACCAGGCCTCTTATGCAGGCTCAGGAAGTTTAGGTAGGGAGGGCTCTGGGTCCCTGCCGAGTTGCTTGGTTAACCTTCTAAACTTCTAAAATTGACATAATGTATATGTATCAACCATTACAGCCGCCCCAGCACATCCTCCTAGAAGGTCTGAAGGAAGGGCCCTGCTCCCAGGCCAGAGAGTAGAAAACACAGCCCCGGAGGGATCTGGATTCATCACAGCGGGTGCCGGAATCACGCCACATATTTGGCCAATAAAATGTAAGGCCAATTTTCCTCTACTCTTGGGAAAAAAAGAAAACAAAATGGTATTTCTGGAATATACAGACCTGTTTATTAATGTGGAAAGGTGGTGTCTGGTTTGTATCTTTGCTTCTTTGTCTGTGAGACAGGATCTCACTATGCAGTTCAGGCAGGCCTCCGACTCACTTTGTACCCCAGGCTGGCCTGGAGCTTGTGGTGATCCTCCTGCCTCAGCCTCCCTAGTGCCGGGATTGCAACTGTGGGACAGTGAGTTCTGTTTGCTTCTAGAATATATAAAGAACTAAAAGACTAGGCAACCCCTAGTGAAAACCAAGCAAAACATGGACCAGTGAAATGAACAGACACTTCACAGATAAATACATGAAGAAATGCCCAGCAACGCCAGCCATTCGAGAGGCCCAAATTAAAACAACAGTGGAGTCTGCTTCACCTCAGAAAGAATGACAGATGCCAAGAAACCAGCCAGTAAGTGCTGGTGAGGCCGGGGTGCTGGGTGTGGTGTCCTCTTCATTGCTGATTTGTAGTAGGATTGTAAACTAGTACAACCACTGTAGAAACCACTGTGGAGATTCCTCAAGTAGCTAAAACCAGGAATGCCTTTTGACTCAGCGATTCCCCTTCTAGGTGTCTTCCCAAAAGACTTAAAGATGTCATATTGCAGTGAAAAATGTATATCCATATTTATGGCAGCCTAGATCTTGACAGCAACTTGCATATCCATCAGTGGATGAGTGGATAAAGAAATGTATTTGCACTCAGTGGAATACTACTCTGCCACGAAGATTATAAACTCAAGTCATTTGTAGGAACATATATGCACCTTGACACCACAGTGTTATGATTCCTAAATCAGACTCACAAGCTTAAATATTCTCTTACATGGGAAACCCAGAGTATAAGTAAAGATCAAGTTAAAACAGCTGGGGGTTTAGTTCAGCAGTGTAAGTGCCTGCCTGGCAAGCTCAAGGTTGCAAGTTCAATTCCGAATACCAAAAAAAAAGAGATCAAATTAAAGATGGATAGTAGGAAGTGTGGGGAATAGATCTTTGCAAAAGGAAAAGGGACCAAGATCTGGAGGAAGTGATGGAGGAGCAGAGGGAAAGGAAATAAGACCCATGGACCAACTTCCCAAAAGAAAAGTAATCATATGTCGTACAAGCACGCATTGATAAAAAATAAAAATTGAAGCCAGGCTTGGTGGTGCACACCTGTAATCTTAGCACATGGGAGGCTGAGACAGGAGGATCACTTTGAGTTTGGGCCTTGCCGGTGACCGTCTCTTGGACTGGAGAGTGCTGATACCACTGCTGCTGTCTGCAGGAGGGAGCTGCGCTGTGGAGAAGGTTTGGGGTTGTCTAGACCACACAGCTGACCTTCTTTCAGCCTGGGGAGCTTTGTCAATGAGGAGGTGGATGCCTGCACAACATCTGATCCCCGAAGAGTTTACGATCCTTGCTCTGGGTGGTTGGGGACCTGCCCAGCTAGCGGCCACACTAGATTGGGCTTGGCGGGAATCAGGCCTGTTTGGACCTTGTCTGGTGGCTTTATTTCCTTTCAGGGAGCTTCACTGCCAGAGAGGGGAGCTGTGCGGCTTGAGGAGGCTTTAGACCTACCTGAGCCACACCCAGTAACCTTCTTTTAATCTGGGGGCTTAGCTGCCCCAGGAGGGAGATACACAGGAGCCCAGGACATAGGAGACAATTTCCAACATGCCCAGTGGAAACTTTGGAACAACACTTGAAACACAGAAATATAGGACAATAACAAAATGAAAGACCAAAATGCAATCTCAAACATCCAGCCCATCCCAAGAAACCTTAGGAACTATGCACATAGAAGAAAATATATGCCATACTCCTGAGATACCTAAAATAATAGTAACTGAAATAAAGAAGCAACTCTGGGAAACTTTAAAGGAATTCAAACTAGAAATAATCTCCCATGTAAAAGAAGAAATGATAAAAGAAATGAAAGAGATGTTGAGCACATCTAAAGAAGACACAGTTAAAAAATTAGATGAATAAAACAATAAGATAGACACCCTGGATGAACAATCAGAATACATAAAGTAGATTCAAAGAGATATACAGAAAATAAAAAATTCCATTGAGAGTTGTTAAAACCACCTCAATGAAAGTGAAGACAGACGTTCAGATCTCTAAGACAAAATGACAGCCAGTGAACAGAAGAGGGAAGATCTCTTAAAAATAACAAGAAATCAGGAAATAACAGTCCAACACCTGCAAGATGACTCAAAGAAAAACAACATGAGATTGATAGGGATAAACGAAAAAGAAGGAGACAACACAAATGATGTCAAGACGCTATTAAAGGAGTAATAGCTAAAAATTTCCCAAACATGAGAATGGAAACTGACATCAGGATCAGTGAATCATATAGAATTCCAAATAGCCATAACCAAAACAAAACTACACCCAGACATATAATAATCACCATCCCAGAAATCCAACATAAAAATAGAATATTAAAAGCTGTCAGAGAGAAGACACGGGTCACCTATACAGGAAAAACCTATCACAATCACAACAGACTTCTCAACACAAAATGAAGTCAAGAAGAGCATGGAGTGAAATATTTCCGATCCCAAAGGAAAATTATTTCCAACCTATGTTGACGTGCCCTGCAAAACTGTCCTTCAAAATTGATGGAGAAAAAAAATTGATGGAGAAATAAGGCACTTCCATGACAAAGAACAGCTGAAAAACTTCATGATCACCAAGCCAATCCTGCAAAGAATACTGAAAGACAGTTTAGATA